ATAGAAATATCAGTTTTACAGACAATAAATATGACTAACATATCTTAGAGATTAATTTGAGACTGACTTTTTAAATATTTCAGTCAAGTAAACATCATTTTACATTATAAATTTTATTGTAGAAATACTGATTCTGTCTTCATTACACATTAATAATACACAAAATTTGACGAAGTATTATGTTCATCCATAACATGTAAAAATTTTTTAAAATCTATAAACACTATTCTTTGTTTTCGCAATTAAATAAAAAATTTCCTATACTGCCATTTTTACTATTTAAAAGTTTTTTCAGTTTTTAATAAATTTATATCAATTTTGTTCTGTTTTAATAAAACATTTAAAATTTAAATGAGGTTCTTTTGCATACAGGCATTTCTCAACTTTTGGACAATTTTCTTTTTTTTGTACATAACACTTTGATACCTCTAAATGACTTTATGTATGCCAAATTTAGACTTCTATGCCTCTCTATTTTCAATCTTCCTCTTTTTCTCAAACTAGACAGACTCCTTTCTTTCTGCTTCTGATTGTTCTTGCCTTTGATCTCTGCCATCTTCTAGATGGGAATCTTGAAAAATGAATTCTTTTCACATAATTCTGAGTCTTTGAATTTTTCAAATTGATGTCCACTTTCTATACATTTTCAGTATACAAAATAAATTTTTGAGCTATTATGTATTGGCATTTCTTGTGTATTTTGTTTCAGTGATATCAAAATCATTTTGTAAAAATTAAATTGTTGTTGTCTGTTTTCTGTTTAATCTATGGTTTTAACATTTTAAATAATGTTTCATGCATTGAACATGTTCACTTCAAGAAAAGTAGGACTTTTCTACAATACAGTGGGTGATTGGTTAACGAACATAATCCGTTCCAAGACTTTGTTCGCTATCCGAATTGTTCGTTAACCGATTATCGATTTACCATAGGTTTTAATGGGAATTTAATTAATTCGTTCTGGAGACCGCCAAAAATAAAAAAATATATACTTTCTTACTACGTTTATTTATACGTAATAATAAAAATACATACATGCACAGTCTTGCGTTTTTATTAGTCATGTTTTTTCCGTTTGAAAGGGTTAAAGAATCTGTCTAATGTCGATAGCTTTTCTCTCTTCTTCAGGATTTTACGTAAGTAATTAATAGGATTGCAATTGTAGAAATCCCCAAGCCTCAACCTAGTTTGGATGCCATTCTAAGACC